ATATAATTAATGCATATATAAGATATAAATAAAATATAACTTCTACTATACAGTAGGGGTATTGGGGAGGCTAAAATTGGCCACTACTAAATTCAGGCCTAACAAATTCTGTTGTTGGAAGCTACAGGTTAAAAGGAATAGCTTGGCCTATGGAATGAAAGGAAAATCTTTTGTTAATTTTGAAGAGTTAAAGCTATAAGACTTTTTTCCTTTCCTACACGTTTCTTTCTCTTGGTATTATTCCTTTATCATTCTTCTTCACTTATCTTTTCTCATCATGGTTTCTATATTTTCAAAACTTCGCTCAAGTTTACCCACTGTAGAAACCTCACGTTGACTATCCCAGTTTGTCTCTGACCCTTTAATGATGCTGTACTAGGCTTTTCTCCTTTCATGGCAAAATATGAAGCCTTCCTTTTTGTGAAAGTTTTCAAATCATATCAAGGAGTTTGTCTTCCCAGCAAGACCACTATAATCCAAATAGAAAAATGTTTGTTCCTAGTATTTGGCCTGATAAAGAGCTTACACCAGAATATAAACTAGTCACATCACTGACACAGGTTTAGTTCATGTAACTTTTTTTCTCATAGCAAGACTTTCCTGAAAAAGAAATCAGTGCAAGATTTATAAATTGCAAACTGGCACTTTAATGAATTAGACTATAAGGATGCTAGTGGATACTTTTCATCTTCCAATGAGAAGGGTAAATAGGATAGTTGTGATGGATGACATGACTGACTGGTGGAGAGCTGTGACATTCACAGTGGTGGATAATTGCTAATAAGGGGTAACATTTTTGAGTGTGAAGGCCTGTTCTATGCAGCTTTTATGAATGAGTTCACTGATACCTCACAATGACCCTCTGGGGTAGGTATTACCATTTTCCCCATTCTACACATGAAAAAAGTAAGGCCCTATGAGACTAAGTACGGTGGCTCATGGCTGTAATCCCAGGACTTTAGGAGGCCAAGGCGGCTGTATCACTTGAGGTCAGGAGTTTGAGACCAGCCTAGCCAACGTTGTGAAACCTCCTCTCTACTAAAAATACAAAAATTTTCTGGACGTGGTGGCACATGCATGCCTGTAATCCTAGCTACTCGGGAGGCTGAGGCATGAGAATCGCTTGAACCTGGGAGGTGGAGGTTGCATTGAACAGAAATTGTGCTAATATACTCTAGCCTGGGTTACAGAGTAAAACTCCTTCTCAAAAACAAACAAAAAATGAGGCCCTGAGAAATTAACTTGTCCCAAACCTTACAGTTAGGAAGAGGCTAATTCAGATTTCAAACCCACATCTGTCTGAAACCAGTCTATACCTGGATATATTCTTTCCCACAGAGGTTTCTGAGGTGAAAATATTCTATGTCTTCTGTTTTCAACGTGGTAGCCATTTACCACATGTGGTTTTCAAATACTTGCAGTGTATCTGGCTCAAGTAAGAAAGTGAATTTCTAGTTTTATTTTAATTAATTTACAGTTAAATTTAAATAGCCACATGTGGTTAATGGCTACTATGATCAACAACATAGGTCTGGAGACTTTTACAATGTTACTAACTACAGGCTAATAACAGGAAGCCTAGTCCAGGAAAGTATATTCATGTAAGATCTAGTTTTCCTCCGTTTCTAGAGTTTCTCAGACATTGTAAAAACAACAACAACGACAACAACAACAACAACAACAGCAGGAATGCTATCTTAAATTGCTTGGGTATTGGAAGTAATAGGATTCAGTTAAGTAAATTATTTACCACTTCCTTGGATTGAGAAACTGTGCCATGCTTTGGGCATTCTAAATGAATTTTGTCTTCAAGGAGTTCCTCTTCTAAGTAGCTTTATAGAGTGTTGTAGTTTTTTTCCCAGATTTTCCTCATATATGATTAGACAGTATTTAAATATGTGCTATGTAACATTTTGTCATGTTTTGATTTTAATTTTATGACTAGATAATGTATTCCCATGGTTTAAACCACAAAAGGTTCAAGCGCTTTCTAATTTCCTTCAATAGATGCAACCAGTGTTGTCATTTTCTAGTGTATGTCCTTACAAATGTTTTGTGCAGACACAAAAAAATGCTCATATATATTTAAACATCCCCCTTTCTGAAAACAAATATACACTGTTGAGTAACCTTGTTCTTTTTACTTAAAAAATATACCTTGGATACATTTTCATGCTAGTATTTTTAAAAGTCTCATTTTTTTTCTACTGATGTATAATATTACATTGTACGGTTGTATTACAATTTACTTACACAGTCCCCTTCTGATGGACATTTATGTTGTTTTCATTCTTTTGCTATTCCAGGAAATATTGACATGGGTAATTTCAGCACTTATATTCTAACATGAGCTGGAATGACTGCATTTCTGTTTCCCAGACCATATTCCACAGAACACAAGTCTCATGATATGTTCAATACGCAAAAGGGTTCTATAGGTAAATAACTTTGGTTAACTATGGGTTATAGTGCACACTGATGTTGATGTTTCATAGTGCACACTGTCATATTAAAAGAAGTCTTGCAATAATCTGCTTCTATGTAATCCAAGTGTTTTCCAACCTCACATTTTCTCAAGTAACAGAATACACTATTATTTCAGGTCGGGTTTCTGGGAAGCAGAGTCTGAGATAGAAATGTACATATGAGAGGCTTACTGGGGCATCTTCTAAAGAACAACACCTGATGATGGAAGTGAGGGGATCAAAATAGGGTGGGCAGAGGACGAAGCTGGACTATGATGAAGTTGCAACAGTGGCCTCACTGGATCCCTTGGGAGTCCTCTAGAGGCAGGATGGTGCTTTGGAGATGTTCCAACTCTGGAAATAGGCCAGATTCCTGGAAGAAAAGGCCATTACCTGACAAAGAAAGCTAGATAGCTTTCTTCCATTGACAGCATTTCTCGGGAGGGGCTCAGCTATGACCTGTCACCTGGAACAATGAATTTCATTGTTCACTACAACTCTGTATAGCATCTTCACATTTTTAAAGGAAATGCTTATCAGATCCTAGATAGTCTTTCTGGTCAGAGCAAGTCACTTGGTCTCCTGGGACTCAGTTTCTTACTGCATGAAGTATGAATGCTGAGCTGAAAGTTCTTTAGAGTTTATAACATTCTTTGCATCTATTTCCATTTCAGTATGTGCTAATTAAATTCCAAGGTCAGACATAAGTTTTTCCAAACACATACTTGGTCATATAGAGGCCAATGATATGGATAGATAAGCCCTAATTTTTAATATTATGGCTATGAAGTTATGGAAAAAAGTGGATTGTTATAGGACTTTCAAGTATATGTTACTTAACCTGGGGCAGCTTCTTGGGGAGAAATTGCATAAGAGCTGAATTAGAGCTTTTTATTTTTTAAGTATTTTGGTTACTTCTTGCTAGGTGTTTGCTGAAGAAGCTAACTATCTTTCTAGGAACATTGGCCCATATTGATAAAATTGAAGGAATATAGTGGTGTGCAATGTAAAAAAGAGAGGAGCATAACTGGCTTTAAAGCACATTCTTAGGAGCTCTTATTTATTTTCCTTTTAGAAGCTCAGGAAGCAAACAGGCGTAGATAAACAGGCATAGCAATTTCTCAGGGACCTTCCATTTGTGAATCAGATGGGTCTAAATGCCCATCCTATGTCTTTGAGGATATTTGCGAATTTCATTCTCATGTGCCTGCAGAATTCACTTGTGGTTGATATTGGTGGAAGCTTGTTTCCTGGTAGGAGGGGGAAAAGGGCTCAGGGAATGGGCCTCTCTTAAGTGTGCCTGGTAGAAATGATGAAAGTTCATAAGAAGGATGGAAAATATATCCAAGAAAAAGAAAATGTTCTTTTAAGATAATGAAATAAGAAGTGAAATCAAATTTAAGGTGGTGGGTATTATACAAACATGATGCAGAGAAGAAAGCAAACGGAAGAAACAAGTCTAAGGTTGATGGCGGTATGGGTCTATGATTAACATTTAAATTGAATGTAAGTTTTTCTCAAAAACCTTAATCTTTTCCTTCAACACAAAGCTTCATAAGGATTCTTGGATCACATTGAAATTTGGTTAATATGTTTCTTAATTCATTTTATAAAATAAAAATTATACTATTTTAATTTTTTTTTGAGATAGAGTCTCACACTGTCACCCCAGCTCCCGTGTTCAAGTGATTCTCCTGCCTTAGCCTCCATAGTAGCTGGGATTACAGGTGCCCATTACCATGCCTGGCTAACTTTTTTTTTTTTTTTTTTTTTTTTGTATTTTTATTAGAGATGGGGTTTCACTATGTTGGTTAGGCTGCTCTCGAACTCCTGACCTCATGATCTACCTGCCTTGGCCTCTCAAAGTGCTGGGGTTACAGATGTGAGCTAATGAACCTGGCCGCTACTTTACTTTTCTAAATGGCATAATAAGTTGGACTATCTTTATAAAAAACATAGAAGTTATATTATTTTTAGGTTTTCCAATCATATAATCTGTTCACATATTTATACCTCATCAAAATTACATATACCTTAAAATATTATACTATATTATGATGTTGTGTTTGACTACTTCATATTTGACTGGAAACATTGCCATTTCACTTTTAGAATAGATGTTTACAACTTATTTTCTACACCTTCTTCAGACTTGGTCAATAACTTGATATCAAACACGCAAATACATTTGACATCACATGTGTTTTGTGCTATTTCATGGCAAAGGGAAAGACGTTTTACTAGAGAGCTATATGAAACATTATAGGCTTTAAAAAATGATATATGATAATTTTTTCTCCAAAATGGAGTAGCTCTAGATAGGAAGGACATGAGTTAAATTATGGGGGACTCTGAGGATTATGGAAAAGATTTCTCCAAGAAGTTCAGTCTTGACTTACAGAGTTTTCTCCATACAAGTCTTCCCGTTTCTTTTTATAGCATGATCAGGTATGTAGGTAACTATAAATCTGAGGAAGGGAGGATTTCTCAATACATAATTATTAATCCTCTTATCCCTACCTTTGACTCTTACAGAATCCATTCCAATATATGGCTACGTGGCTCTTTGGAGCAATGTTCCATCATGTTCCATGCTGGTGACATCACACGGAGCACAGAAATCAATGTTAGCAGATAGCCAGCCCATACAAGATCGTGTAAGTAAAGGTTCTTGTTTGTTTGTTTGTTTAAGATGAAGTGTCACTCTATCACCCAGGCTGGAATGCAGAGGTGCAATCTCAGCTCACTGCAACCTGTGCCTCCCGGGTTCAAGCAGTTCTCTGCCTCAGCCTCCCAAGAGGCTGGGATTACAGGCATGCACCACCACGCCCACCTAATGTTCTGTATTTTTAGTAGTGATAAGGTTTCACCATCTTGGCCAGGCTGGTCTTGAACTCCTGACCTTGTGATCCACCCGTCTTGGCCTCCCAAAGTGCTGAGATTACAGGTGTGAACCACCATGCCTGGATGTGAGTAAAATTTTAAAAATTGTATCATATAATGTAGACATTTTTATGTAATAGTGTAATTACTAATAAGGAAGATGTGGCAACACAGGTGAAGTTATATATACTCAGAATTTTTTAAATGAGCATCTTGGTTTAAAAAATATACAATTTGTTATTGCATGCTTAAAACATATATTTGAGCACACAGAATATTGCACATAATTTTTTTTCTGAAAAGAGACACTTAGTAAATATTATGGACTTTGTGAGTCAGATGATCACTGTCCTTACTAGTCATCTCTGCCCTATTGCTTAAGAAGAGCCATCAGTGTGTATAGGCATGGCTGCATCTCAACAGAACTATTTACAAAAACAGGTAGCAGATGACGGTTGGCCTCTGAGTCATAGTTTGTCAATATAGAAAATGAAAGAATTGTGCATCTCATTTTCTGCATATTACTGGGTTAATTTAGAAAGAACTTGGGTGCTTAAATAATAGGCCGGGCGCGGTGGCTCAAGCCTGTAATCCCAGCACTTTGGGAGGCCAAGGTAGGTAGATCACGAGGTCAAGAGATCAAGACCATCCTGGCCAACATGGTGAAATGCTGTCTCTGCTAAAAATACAAAAATTAGCTGGGCGTGGTGATGCGTCCCAGCTACTCAGGAGGCTGAGACAGGAAAATTGCTTGAACCCGGGAGGCAGAGATTGCAGTGAGCCAAGATCACGCTACTGCACTCCAACCTGGGTAACGAGCGAAACTCCATCTCAAAAAAAAAAAAAAAAAAAAAATTAAATAATAAATTCAATCAAACTAATTTCTAAATGAATTTACTAATCTAAGTATATGAGAAGATAATGCAGATTAGATTTTTTAAATGACTGAGACTTTTGAGAAGTATTTTAAAACAATGTAAGGTCAAGTTCAGTCTCCATAACTAAACAAAATATAGTAAGGTATAACTTAATGATTGAGATATGTTCTAAGAAATATATCGTTAGACAATTCTGTTGTGGGGACATCCTGGGCTGTACTGACACAAACTGAGATGGTATATGGCCTATACCTGCCTAGTCTATATGGTATAGCCAGTTGGTCCTAAGCTACAAACCTGTACAGCATGTTACTGTACTGAATGCTGTAGGCAATTATAACACAGTTATAAGTATTTGTGTATCTAAACATAGAAAAGATACAGTAAAAATGCAGTATAAAAGATAAAAAGTGATATATCGGCATAGGACACTTAGGGTGAATAAAGTTTACAATATTAGAAGTTTCTCTGGTTGATTCAGTGAGTGAGTGGTGGGTGAATGTGAAAACCTTGGACATTACATTATACTACTGTGGACTTTATAAACACTGTACAGTTAGGTCATGCTAAATTTATTAAAATATTTTTTTCAATAATAAATTAACCTTAGATTACTGTAACTTTTTAAATTTAAGAAACATTTTCTTTAACTTTTTGACTTTTTTTAATAACACAACATAAAACCAAACATATTGTACAGCTGTACAAAAATGTTTTTCTTTACCTCCTTATTCTATAAGATTTTTTTCTATTTTTAAAAATGTTTAGTTTTTGCGTTTTAAACGTTTTTGTAATCAAACACTGCATGTTCTTACTCATAGGTGGGTGCTGGACAGTGAGAACACATGGACACAGGAAGGGGAGCATCACACACTGGGGTCTGTTCGGAGGAACTAGGGGAGGGACAGTGAGGGGTGGGGAGTTGGGGAGGGATAACATGGTGAGAAATGCCAGATATAGGTGATGGGGAGGAAGGCAGCAAACCACATTGCCATGTATGTACCTATGCAACAATCTTGAATGTTCTTCACATGTACCTCAGAACGTAAAATGCAATAAAATAAAATAAAATAAAATAAAAAACTAAGACATAAACACACACATTAGCCTAGGTCTACACAGAGTCAGGATCATCAACATCACTGTTTTCCTCCTCCACATCTTGTCTCCCTGGAATGTGTCCAGGGGCAGTAACACACATGAAGCTGTTATCTCCTGTGATGTCAATGTCTGCTTCTGGAATATCTCCAGAAGGACCTGCCTAAGGCTGTTTTACAATTAACTCCTAAGAAAATATAAGTAAAAGGAGTACATCATAAACTAATGATTTAAAAAGTATAGTATAATAAATAAATCAGTAACATAGTTATTATCAAGTATTATGTACTGTGCATAATTTTATGTTATACTTTTATATGACTAGCAGTGCAGTAAGTTTCCACTAGCATTACCATAAACATGTGAGCAATGCATTGTGTTACAACATTAAGGCATTGATATGGTTTGGATTTGTGTCTCCACTGTTGGTGGAGGGGCCTGGTGGGAGGTAATTGGCTCATAGGGACAAAGTTTCCCCTTGCTGTTCTCCTGATAGTGAGTTCTCATGAGATTTGGTTGTTTAAAAGTGTGTAGCGCCTCCTGCTGCTCTCTCTTCTTTCTGCTCTGACCATGTAAGACATGCCTGCTTCCCCTTCACCTTCTGCCATGATTTTGTTTCCTGAGGCCTCCCCAGCCATGCTTCCTGTATAGCCTGCAGAATTGTGAGTCAGTTAGACATTTTTTTTTTTAAATAAATTACCCAGTCTCAGGTAGTTTTTTTTATAACAATGCAAGAATGGAATATACAGACATCTACAAAGTCACCAGGTGCTAGGAAATTTTTCAGCTTCGTTATAACTTTATGGGACAACTCTCATTGTATATGTGGTCTGTCATTGACTGAAACTTTGTTATGGGACATGTGACTTTAAAGCCACAGAAATAAATCCAAGCATCTGGCTTCTTATGGTAAAGTGAATATATACATTTCATTTTCACTTTCAGTTATAATTTCTAATTAACACCCTCAAATATAATTCTAATTAACACCCTCAGATATACCTCAGATAGCATGTATAATAGATCAAGATGAACAGTGGAATAAGTAAAGAAGTTTAAGGAAATTGAAACATTTTATAAGAACTCTAAAGAGGAAAAAGGCAGTTTCCTTATTTTTCCATCATTTTTGGTATGAGAAAATAAAATATAAATTGAAAGAAAAAAACATGGAGAGCATGTTCTTTGACAGTAATTATCTATAAACTGAAACTTACCCCTTAACTTCATAAACTTCCTTGAAATTACTGTTTCTTAGAATTTTTATTAAGAATTATCCAAACCCAAGAACAAGTTTACCGGTGTCTTTTTTTTTTTTTTTTTTTTTTTTTTTTTTTTTTTTTTTTTTTTTTTTCGAGACAGAATCTTGCTCTGTCACCCAGGCTGGAGTTCAATGGCCCAATCTTGACTCAATGCAACCTCCGCCGCCTGGGTTCAAGCAATTCTTCTGCCTCAGCTTCCTGAGTAGCTGAGCAGTCACCATGCCTGGCTACTTTTTGTATTTTTAGTGGAGAAGGGGTTTTACCATGTCAGTCAGGCTTGTCTCAAACTCCTGAACTCATGATCCACCCGCCTCGGCCTCCTAAAGTGCTAGGATTACAAGCATGAGCCACCGCACCCAGCTGGTGTCTTACTGATACACACCAATTAGGTATTGCTACCATTAAGAGATTGAAGAAGATGCAGGGGGAAATTTTGGATATAATGTGATAATATTTGAAACATTTTTAGTAATAGCAATGTAGTTTGGAGTGTCTTGTCGCTAAGACATTGAGGGAAACGAATACACGTGATTTCTTAAAAAATTATGAGCAATTCTGGGGAAAATAAGCTATGGCAGGGGAATTTTGCTTAAATGAAATCATGCTTGAAATATGCAAGAGATTTAAACAGGAATCTCCCCTAGTATGTGAGTAGTAAATACGCGTTTTGAAGTCATAAGAAGAGTGTCATGTGCTTTCTGCTTTTCTTTTTATGAATTCTCTTTGATTCCTACATTTTTAGGTTCAGCTTCCTTTGTTGATACTTAAATATCGGGGCATTCTGATTGGTTATTTTTTGGTGGCCAGTGATAGGTATTCCTGTCAGGATTTAGGCTAGGTGGAATTAAAGACCTCAAGTATCTCTTTCAATTTGCATAGTAAAAGAGGCAAGTAAGTGTAATTTGTTCCTCGGTGAGCTCTGCTGTTGCTGTAACAAGAACCTAGAAAGGCACTATTTGTATAGGTTAATCCTTTGGAGGTAGCTTTTATTTTGGATAGTGGTTTTGGGAGTGTAATAGGCTCCATGCTAAAGAAACCTTCGCTGTGATGACATTTCTGCCAACCGAATCTCACTTGTAGTCTTTAACATGATTTATTTGCTATAATTTTTACATTTTGAAAATAAATGCATTTATAAAACAGAATTTGGGTATAAGCTAAGTTAAGAATCTCACCAGTGCATGCTTTCACTCAAGACCCCTTCTCTTTTATTTTAGCTAGGGATGTAGCTTACAAGCTTGGGTGGCTTGAGTCACCACTTTTAACTCAATTTAGTTAAAGCTTTTAATTTTATTTTTTATTATCTTTTTAATGATCAGGGTAATACATGCTCATTGTAGAAGAGTGAAAAATACAGAAAAGTTTAAAGTGGGAAAAATATCACCAGTTGCCATAATTACTAGGAGGCAACTAAACGCATGACTGTTAACAAGGTTACTTTGTTTACGTGGTTGTTATAAAAAAGACTGAAAAGTTTCATTGTGGTTTTGTTTGTTTAACAGCAAATTGTGACGTTTCTTTGTGACATTACATAAGTAAACATTATTTTAATGTGTATATAATACTCTAATAAAAAATAGGTTCCAACCCATCATGCCTTTCCCTAATTTTTGATTATTATAAATAATATTTAAGTGAATATATTTTCAAATACATTTTGTCCAAGTTTCTGATAATTTCATTAGGTACATTTCCTAAGAAGGGAACTAAAATGTCTAAAGTAATAAGTATTTTAACAGTGCTCAGCTCTTATCCCAAAAATTATGTACAAATTTATAACTTTGTCATCCCTACACCTTCATCATTTCTATGTGAGCCTTGGTGATATTGCATCCTCACCAGTGCTGGTGTTTCACAATACATTCTGGTTCCGTGAAGAATAGGGCAGGAGTTTATGCCAAATGTAATTCTCCCCTTGAAACCGCAG